TTTGCCAAGTTCTGCAGATATCAGCCTGGCAGCTCTCCAAGCCAGATAAGGTCTGTGACTGTAAATCCTCCTTTGAAAGACTTTGCTGGATGTGATTGAGCAGAATTCACAGTCAATTAATAAAAGGGGTTTTTGTCGGGACCAGGAATTTGCTTCAGGCTCTTGGGAAGTCTCCGTCAGAACAGTTGTGAAGCAAAGCAAGGAGAATGGCAGGCATGACAATCTGGCCTAACTTTATTAATTTCCGCAAACCATTATCTCCCCTGGCATACATGTGAAAGAACCTTTGGTTGTTGTGGTTGTTGTTGTTTTGTTTCATTCTTTTTCTCTGCTTCTTTGCTTCCGAAGACGAAGTGGCTCTCAAATTCGAAAACGGCCAGGTGAGAGTGCGGAATCTGGCGTTTGATACCCTTCCTGTTGTGATTCATGGAAACGGACCCACCAAGGTAGGCCAAATCCCGGCTCCCTGGAAACTAGGATGTTCCTTCTAGGACAGGGATGAGGAACCTTTTTGTAAACATGTGCCAACATTGTGTGTGCATGCCCCACCATGCAATGTGCCCCGCCCACCCGTGCATGCACGCATGAACACCCCACCACACGCCGGCCGGGGAGGAGAGGGAGGTTGCCATCCCCAGGCTTCAGGAAAGTCCCCAGAGCCCCCAGGAGGGTGAAAAACAGGCCAACGGGCTAAGCCAAGGGTCAGCAAATCGTGGCTCTGGAGCCGCATGTGGTTCTTTTATCCCTCTGCTGTGGCTCCCTGTCTCCAGACGGCACCACAATTTTGAGAGGAGCTTCTAGTTAGGGGCAGGGCAAGCAGAGCGCTCCAGGAGGAGACTCTATGGCAAGGGACGGCTTTTCCGCTCAGCTCCACAATTGATAGGGCTTTCGGTTAGGACAGGTAGAGGGAAAAAAGGATGCCGCGCTAGGAGGAGACTTGGGAGCGGGGGAGGGAAGCGGACTTCCGATGAGCTCCAGAATTGAATGGGGGGCTTCTGGTTAGGACGTTTGTGGCTCTTTGAGTGTTTAAGGTTGCCGATCCCTGGGCTAAGCATTTCCGACTTCTGGGGGGCCTCCAGGGGGCCAGGGAAGACCGTTTTTGCCCTCCCCAGGCCCTGGAGGCTTTCCTGAAGGCTGGGGAGGGTGAAAACGGCCTCCCCCTGCCCTCCAGAAAGCTGAAAATCAGGTGGCTGGCCAGTGCATGCATGCCCTAGAGCTGACAGCTCGCGTGCTGGCAGATATGGCTCCGCTTGCCACCTGTGGCGCACGTGCCATAGGTTTGCCATCACGGTTCTGGGATGCGTATACAGGTAGTCCTCAACTTACAACAGTTCATTTAGTGACGGTTTGAAGTTATGATGGCATTGAGAGAAAGGGACTTAGAGCCCTTTCTCACAGTTCCAACCCTTGTAGCAACCCCAAGGGTGATCAGAATTCAGACGCTTGGCAACCAGCTGGTATTTACAATGGTTGTGGTGTCCTGGGATCGTGTGAGACCCGCTTTTGCCACCTTCTGACCAGCAAAGCCAATGGGGAAGCCGGATTCACATAACAACCGTGTGACTAATCTTAGCAACTGCAGCGATTCCTTGAGCACTGTGGCAAGGAAGCTCGTAAAAAATGGGGCACAACCCGCTTACGTCTCACTTAGCAACATAAATTTGGGACTCGCTTGTGGTCGTAAGTCGAGGACTACCTGTTCTCCTGTCCTTCTTGCTCTGGATCAGAGCTTGGGTGGGCTTTGATTTCTATCGGCCAAGACCGGAAATTGTTAAGGAGATTCAGAATTGACCTCAGTGGCAAAACAGGTGCTTAATCTAAGGAGGGAAGATGGCCAGGCCAGTTTCAGCAAATCCACAGCAACTGGAAAACTATGTTATGGTGGAAAAAAATATTATGGTGGAAAACCATAATATGCTGGAAAACCATATTATGCTGGAAAACCATATTATGCTGGAAAGCAATGGTGGAAAACCATATTATGCTGGAAAACCATATTATGGGGGAAAGCAATGGTGGAAAACCATATTATTATGGATAATAATAATATAATATAATAATATGGAAAACCATATTAATATGGAACCATATTATTGTGAAAAACCATATTATGCTGGAAAACCATATTATGCTGGAAAGCAATGGTGGAAAACCATATTATGCTGGAAAACCATATTATGGGGGAAAGCAATGGTGGAAAACCATATTATGCTGGAAAACCATATTATGGGGGAAAGCAATGGTGGAAAACCATAT